TCCCTGAGCATCCATTTTGTTCCTTCCATAGTCATCATTAAGCCAGGGGACCGGAGGAGTTTTACATCTCCCAGTTAATGCCTTCATTCAGCAAGCCCCTTTAAACAGCCAGTGAAGAAGAGGAGGGAAATTAAAAGCACATTATATTGGGCTTCTTCTGTGCTTTGCCTTTGGACACAGTTCTCTCTCTCCACTGTCCTGGCTCCCTAATAAAGCATGTAAACTAGGGAATCCCCCCAGCAAGTGTGCTCGCTTGCAAAATTTGCAAGAGGGAGATGGCCAGGATACCTACCTGGCCTATCTGTACCTCTGACCAAATCAACTAGCACCTCTGGAGGTCAAATAGGAATTAAAGAAATGGCATTGGCAGGAGCAGTTTTAACACCCCAAGCCTATTTGGGGAGAGAATGCAGCATTATTAATTCTAGCCCCTGACCTTGAAATGATGTAAATAAGAGTGCAGCAACCCTACAGGAATTGGAGCAAAATAGTTATAGCATTGCAAGCAGATACAATTAATATACATACTTCCCCAGATGCTTGTTTATCATTATACAAGACATGTTTATTATGCAAAATGATAAAGCAGGAAAAAAAGGAGAGAAAAAGAAAATGCAAAGACACACTGAGCTCTTAACATGACTTGGGTTTTTTCAATGCTGTTTAGATTTTTTATTATGCATAATCATTCCCTCATTAGCAGGAATCTTTGAAGTGATTCAAGCTCTAATTTCACCATTTCAAACTCACAGGTTTATACTGTAAAACCATACAGAGCTCTCGTAAGCAACCCATTTTTTTGGTCTGTATTCTATATCTCTGCTAGGGTTTTCTCCGTCTTTCCAATAAATTATGTATCACAATTTGCCATTTCAAAAATAATTAGAAGTCTGAGTTAAACAACAAGGAATATCTGAAAGCAGTACATTTTAGAAGAGAAGTGTTACGCACTTGGGGCAAAAACAATCCCAGCTGTACCACCACTGAATTATACATATCATCATATTGAGAGCTGCAATTTCAGTGTACTTGGAGTGATTGGGTGGGCCTGTGGAGGCTCTACAGCCCCATGATGAGCATCTGTTTCAGGAGAACCAAGTTTGCCTCTCAGGCAAAACACTTCACAGGCACTCTCTTCCCCACAGTCCCGTGAGTTGTTGCAGCAGGGGTAATGGAGGGAAAGCTGGGCACTGAGGAGAGAAACTTCACAGGGAAAGGTTATATGGGCATAGGAATTAATTTGGTGGTGGAACTATTAACTCCAGACAGACAGGAGAGCATGTTCTGTGTCTTCTCCCGTTATGATTAGGCTGTAAACTCACTGGAGCAGGACGTACCTCTTTATTCTGTGTTTCCCTCTCCTCTGCAAAAGCCAGCCTTTGGTCTCAGCTTCCCAAGCACTGAGACAGTACAAGTAATACCCAGTGCCCTTCTTTCATTCTGTGTATACTTACTTTGGCATAAAAGGCTAACAGTGGATCCTCAAGGGAGTCCTATCTCTCCAGAACAGGTGCTGATAAAGACTTTCATGCACCATCAGGGAATTTACAGCTGCTCTACACTACAAGAAATCTCAAACGGGAGCACACCAATGACTCTGCAAGTTTGCTATGAAGACAGCATTGTGCATCCTTACTGTCTGCAAAGTGAGTCTCCAGGCCTCAGACCAAGACCTGATTTTCTTGTCTACTAAGCACCTAGTTCCCCAGCAGACCTCAGAGGTCCCAATAAGCTAGTCTGGAGAAAAAATAGTCAGGTATCAAGTGTAAGTAAACAGTGCAGAAGTCAAACAGCTGCTTCCCAAGCAAAGAGGCTTTGGCATCTAATGCCTTTAGGCCTCTGAAGCTGGCTAGGGACCTATGGTTGGCTTCAACCCAGCAACCCAACCCCAACCGAAGAGATAAGGAAATACGGCCAAGTACATAGGAGAGTGTTGCATGTTTCTGCAAAGAGCCTTCTCACCAAGTTTGGCTTTAGAGGACTCCACTCAGCCCTGCTTTTGCGCTGATCAGCACTAGGAAGATTTTTTTGCAAGGACTGGTTATTCTAAACCCATTCATTCAAGAGCCCATTGGCCCAAACTCAGAAGCAGCTGGCACAAACCATCTCTGAGACCAGGCTGATAATAGCCTCTGGTTTTATCCAGGGCAGAGGATGTCAGCCAAGATCTCAGCTGACACACACAGATTAAATATCACCAAAAAAACCACCAAGCAAAACCAAAACAAACCCACAGTGGTGATGTAACCCGCAGTTACAGCCACAGTTGGAGCTCTATAGAAGAACAAAACAAAACACTTCCCTGGACAGTTGCATTTTATATGAAAGCAGTCCTGGGCTTGAGGGTGTTATAAGAAGTCCTAGCAGGGCTAGGTCTGGGACAGACAACAGGGGAGGTAGCCAAGCAACAGAAAAAAATAATTTATCAATGAATCTGCATGAGTGAACAGTATCTATGGGGAATATTGACCCATTTTTCAGAAATCCATCAGAAAAGGCTGATAGGTGCATGCACAACACAAAAGGAAACTGGACTGAGACAGAGCAAAGCTGTAGTTCAGGGTCTGCTAAGCAAAGGAATAGGGACAACGTGTCCTTTAGTATGGGCAATCAGGTCCAAGCAGTACAGCTCACCCCAGAGAAGAACAGACTGTCAAGTTCTGCCAAAGCAATTCCCCAGTACAGTCTTCGAGACTGACACAGCCATGCCAAATGTTGGCTTGGAGTGGGACCCTGGCCCCACAAGGAAAGCTGCAACATTCAAAAGAGACTCCTTGAACAGTCTGAGCTCTTCTCAGTCATATCCAGTTCTCTTATAGGACACTGGTCTCAACCCTTGTCTTTGATGCTATTAGTGCCTTGACCTACACTCCCTGCTCCTAACAGGCTTTATCCACAAATTTTCTTTTTTCTTGCCTTGACGTCTGTTCCAAAGCACAGTGAATTCATTGATTTACTGCTGTAAGACAGAGCCACCCGTCAATACAAGAAGAAAATAGTGTCCAGTGAGTTCCATCTCCCTAGAGTAGAGATGGGCCAAGTAGCATCCACTTAGTGCAAGCAGAAACCTTGGATCATGTTGATGAAATGAGCAGTTTAACTCTTATTAGTTCAGACGGAGCCAAATCTCATCAAGCCATAGGATATACTGAGGTCCACTTCATTAACCACTGGCCACCACAGTGCATCCTTACCCTTCCCCGATTAACCTTCCTACTTAAGACAGGCACACTTGCTGGGAATAAGCAGGCCCCATTAAACCACTCTCATTTGAATACATGTATGATCTGGTGCCTTTTAGGACACTTCATGACTAGCAGATGTGTTTTAGACACATGGTCCTCCTGCTGCCCACCATCTCTTGGTGTGTCCCTCCTACACTCTGTATTGTCTCACTACTGCTAGCAAGAGATACTGCCCCACTGCAGCTGTCAAACATCACATTTCCAACTCTCCACTACTTCTTTTGCCTTCTGAGCCCCAGAGCTTTCCCTCTCTTGCACTATTTGTTCAGAAAATGCTGACCCCTCATTGCTCCAGGAACATCCCCCCAGGCTAGATGTGGCCCTGACACACTGCTTTCCCGCAGTCCTCATTTACAGGTCACAGTGCTATGAGGAGTCCCAGCGCCGGGCCAGGACCCTTTATGCCCAGCACCGCACACAGGGCAAAACGTCAGTCCCGACCCCGCGGCTACGTGCCTAGAGAGAAGCACACACAGTAACGCAGTACCACACCAGGCTTGGTATTACCTTTAGGACTCTGATAGCTTTACAAAAAGAGGAAGTTTTCATTGTTAGTAAACCGATGTAATTTATTTAGAAGCAGTCATTTATGTTTACTGGGCTATGAAAGAACAGGAAGCGTCTGGCATCCACAGAGATCCAGATTGATCTCTCTGTCTCTTCTTGACAAGCAGCCAGTATTGAGACCTATCTCGCCAGGCATACTAACACATCCACTTGCTGTTTTCTGCCCTGAGCTGCTGGGGAGGCAGAGCTTTGCTAACTCCCAAGGGAAAGGGGGAAATCCCAACTACGTAAGCAGTTTAAAAATGACCAGGAAAGACGACAGACAGTAAGAATTAGGAAAAATTGCATACAAGAAATTCAAACTGTTGTCCTATCTCCATTCTCACGTATGCTTTTAAAGCAAAGTAAATGCCTAGACAAGAGCAAAATCGCTGCACTGTAAATTTACAAAGGCAGATGATATTAGATTCTTGGCTATACACTTTAAAGATATAACTACAGAAATGAGAAGTGTATTATTAACTATCACTTTTTACTATGTAGAACTATAGCAAAGTTATTTGAAGCATAAAAAATTCTGGCAAAGGGCTGCCATATTTAATAAATCACTGAATCAATTATTCACTGTGAAAATCAATTACTTACTTCAAATGAGAATCTTATGAATAACCTCATGCCCTTTCATGCCATCTAAGAAAGTTATAGGGGAATTAGTCAGTAAAAAATGCCTCACTTATCTTTTATGTGCATTAAAAAGACCACACAAATACAGAGAAATTCTGCTCCACTGAAGCCCTCCGCCAACAGAGTAGTCCAGAACCATTTTAATGAAGTCAGTGTATTGCTGTGGATTTACACTGCAGTCAAAAGCAGAGTATGACCCATTGGGGCACCTATGATCAGTTATCTGGGCACAATTCAGCAGCAATTCCATTCACTCCACGTCATTTCACAAATGTGAAACCAGAATACAACCAGCCAACCACACAACCTCCTCTACAATGTGACCTACATTAAGTAACTACTCAAAGTAACACAAAGTGTATCTTCACAGGTCAGGAAATATTGCCACGAATCTCCGTGGAGACACTTCAAGCATCGCATGGCCTTGCAGCAGCTCCCCCTGTTCCTGCTTTTAGAGGTTTGTTTGATACATTTTCAGAAAAAGCCGCAAGTCCCAGTGCAGTCTCCTCCCTCCCACCTACAAAACCAAACTACTCCAGGACCACAAGAGTGCAAAGTACTTACTGAGCTGTAGAGATATCCCTCAGCGTTCATGGCAACGTACAGACCTGCCTTCACCCCTTGAATTGCCACCACGCGAAGACCCACAGGAATTAGATTGAAAAGGGCTGCGGAAGGAAAAGAAAAGCAAAGGTTATGGAGATATCACCCTGTGTGGCGGCTGCTGTTTTTTGCCCCAGGGCCAGCCCACCCCACTCCTGACTCTTACAAAAGATACTGAACTAGAATCAAAAGTCCTGCTTCCAGCTACAAGAAAGGTCTGCAGCCATGGGGGCAATACAGAAAGCAAATTTTAAGGAGTACTGAATTTGGCTGCCTCCCAGCAGCCTTAACACACCCAGTCTGTCTGATCACTGCCTTTGTGATGCCAAGGGCTCATGTGTGCCCAAGCCAGCACATTTCAATGTCTTTCCGTGGGCCAGCTGAGCTGTGGTAACTGCACATGTACAGATCTTTGCCCGTGGCAAACGCAACAACACAACTTAGTTTAGTTCACCCAGGAACAGATTTGAGCCTAGTCACACTTTCTTGCATTTACCATATGCTAAAAGAGTATATAGACAGCAACTACGGCCAGAAGAATGCAAATTAACTTGACTGTGTCTGTGCTCTTGTGAACCCTGCTATTAAAGGAATCAAGAAACTCAGGAAGAGATACTGCTCCACTCCAGGACCAGAGCATTTTTCCTCATTCAGAAACAGCACTAGATAGGATGGAAGAGAACAAGACCTTTCAATACTCAATTCTACTGCAATCTTACTGATTAAAGCATTGCAACCACTTCCTCACAATTAATTACTTTATTGTTTGACTGCAAGTAGACCCTGTATCTCATTGAGGGACCCTTCCCCTGAGCATATACATAAATGTATTATCACACTTTTGCTACATTTCTAACAGAATAGGCTTAAAGAGGAGAGGACTGTCACCATTGAAAGACTATGCACTAAGGCATTAGCATGGCTTTGTTTCCACTGAGATTTATAGGACAAGAGTATCCAGACATTGTAGGGTGCCTTATGCTTCAGCTTAAAAAGAGCTGACTTGTGCCAGGGAGCTTGGAATATGGAAAGATCGACACAGGGTCAGGGAGAAACATGGGCACAGACACAATGGAAATATTTCACTCAAGGTCTCTTCCCATACAACTGCCCTCAAACGAGTATTTTTTGCCGGTTCCCTAGTCATGAGGTCAGACTGCCCCTTCCACATTCATGAAGCATTTCTCAGGGCTTTTTAACACACTCACTTATTTACAAAAGCCTGCTTAAAACTTCAAGGGCTGTGTGAGTGTTCAAATTACCCCTGGGGAGACCTGTTAATGGGCACAATGCAGAGGAAAGACCAAGCGACAGAACACACAGCACAGAACTCCCATTTTCCAGCTGACCGTTAAGGACAATCCTCTAGCTGATTCATTCTATAGATCATTTACAAAGTTTTATGCATGATGCATCACACTGGAGCAAGCACAGCACAACGGGGTCTTCACCTAACAGTTGTAGGAGAAACAGTCCTTCTCACTGTGCCATCTCCTAGCCTCTCCTTCCCTGGGAGATGGACCACTGCTGATTTAACATCAGTCCTGAAGGATAAAGCAGCTTTTGCTGAGATGGCTGGAAGGGACCTTTTATGGACTAGATACCCTTAAAAGGTCCCTTCCAATACAAACTGTTCTATGATTCTATGGCCTACTCAAAATGCTGTAGCTCCTCAGGCCAGACTAGCATTAATCCTGGGATGACAGGAAGGAATCTAGTCCAGTTCAACACCAAACCCCCACCCCAAGGAGACTGGTTAGATGTGCATGTGCCAGGTAACACATGGATTTATCTCAACCACGATATATTTTCCAAGAACTCCCTCATGTACAGCCTGTGAATTATTGCAGAGGGGAGGAGACAGAAGTATGCTTGGATTCCTTTCCAGAGAAAAAACACAAAACATTTACAGCAAACATGGAGAGAAAGGGGGATAGAAAAAAAAGAACTGAAACTATTTACTCTTTCCTTGGAGCCTAAGGAGACTTTCTAAAAAGTCTGAACCAAATTCCCAGGATTTGCACAATTTCCAAGAGAAAACACAGAGCTCAAAGGGTGTGTGAAATGTAATGGCAAACTCATTACATTTGACCTGAACTCTTGGTGGATTTGCTTAAAGGTCAGAAGTGGGTATCTTTTCAGAAGTAAAACCTGAAAAAAGCACAGGAAACAGAAAACCATTTTACTCAAGATATCCAACAGGTGCCTTGGCTGAGCTGGTTTCAGGGTTGTCTCCAAAAAGGGATTAATGAATCCCAGTTTCACATGAATGCCCTTTTTTCTCACCCAATTCCCAAGGAAGACTGGATGACTCCCCTCGGTGAGCTGCCTAAAAAGGGAGGCACCTCAAGTCTGGTGGAAAGAAACCTACTCTCAGCCCCTTTTCATGATTTTAAGCACCATATTCAGTAAAACATCAAAGCATGTGCTGAGGTCTTACCAAAGCCAGTGCCTGTATTTGTGATTTCATGGGAGAACATCAACAGGTGTATACTGCAAATGAAGTCCAGCCTGGGTATTGGTCTGTGAACACCAGGAGTCAAGGACAGTGCTACTCTGATACTGTCCCCAGATGCAACAAACACAACCCAGTGTAGCTACTCAGCATTAAAGAGCTGGATTATAGCACAGTTCTACCATTGAAAAGCTCACTAACCAAGCTTATATTTCTATCACTTTCTCATCACCATGAATGTCTAAAACCCTCTGCAATTAACAAGTCTGTTTATAAGCAATTCTCCTTCCCTAATTTCCCACACACACTGAAAAAATGAAGCATATTATTGCTAATAATGAAACAAAAACAAGCATCATCATTCATTCCTTACAGCCTATTCGTCTTGCATAGAAAACTTGTGACAGACCATTCAAAGCATTCATTAGTCAGCAAGGTGATAATATCCAGAATTAGTGGGCGAGAAGTTCCACTTGGAAGCATCCACATGTCTCCAGATCTCTCTTTCTACCTTTGCGTGATGAGGGAGCACAGGAACAAACCTGTTGTGTCACAGTAGCAAGACCACTGCCAGTTCCCAAGCTCCCCGAGACCCTGCTGCAGACCATGGTCGCAACGCCCACAATCGTGGCTTTTAGGCATGGCAGAGCATCTCCTGCAACATATTGCAGAGCAGGGGAGCAAGCAGGCAGGCAAGCAGGAGGACATGCATCTGACATAGGTAACTGATAGCCAAGGGAGTATTAGCAAGCAAATGTCTTCATCTATTAAAAAAGTGGTTTGGGTCAATCAAAACTTTGTAAATTTTGAGCTGTTTCTACACTCAAATCTAGAAACATCTTTGAAGAAGTTGAAGCCTTTGTTATCATGCTTCCAAATGAATATTTCATCTTGTTTTAGAACAGATTTCAAAGCTTATAAGCTTTACTGTAAGAGTGTAAAAATGTGGGGGAAAACCCTCAAACCTTGAAAGCAAGATGTCTCATTTTTTGTCAGGAAAAAATTGTTGTTAACATGAAACAGCAGATTTAGAGATGGGAAATAGGACTAGCTGTCATAGAATAGGACCGGACACAGGGTATGCTAATGTGAAAGAAAATTTAACAAATGCTTTTAAAATTCATTCTCTACTGCAAATGGTAGATTTTCTATGCCATCTGCACCTGCATGGAATGGACATGCTCTTTTACTTAATTGGCAGAAGAGAAAAAAATTAAGACATTGACTATTGCTGCATATTTTCCTTCCTTACATCTTACTAATTTCAACCACCAGTAGATTTACACCAGACCCTGCTTATTGATGATGCTACTTTTCGCATGCTCCAGTCCTAAACCCTTTGGCCACGAGTATGTTGTTCACTGCTGCGTTATGGCAGTTGATCAGCTGCATATCGTGTTTTTAAAATCTTAATGCATACTTGGCTATTGGTCTGGGCTAACTTGTTTACAGAAATGGAAGAGTAAGGCAAGATGTGCCGTATATAAGATATGGTCCATATGCTCAGCTGATTTAAAAGGTAGTAAGTCAGAGGAGCTAAACTGATTTATACCAGGTGATTTGTTCTGGAGCAAGACCTTTGTGCTGCACATGAATAAGGAAGAACTAATGGAGGATGGAACAGCAGCCTCAGTGCATCATGAGATGGGGAGGTTTAAGATCTTGAGATGAGTGAGGAAGGCTGCTAAGATGATCAAGAGGCTGTGGTGCAACATATATGCACAGAAACTGAAGGAACTGGGTTTGCTTAGCACAAAGAAGGGAAAGCTAACGTTGCCAGAGATGGACTCTTCTCAGAGGAACACCATGAAAGGACAAGAGGCACTAGACAAAAGCTTCAGAAAGCAATTATGACTGGATAGAAAGAAAATTCTCCATAATGAGAACAGTGCAGCACTGGAACCAGAGAGGTTATGAAGATACGGAATAGCTCATTCCTGGAGACATCTGAAACAACTAGACAAGGCTCTCTGCAGCTGATGATAACCCAGCTCTGAATAGAATCTTGGATTGGAGACCTCCAGAGGTTTCCCCACTCTTAATCTTTTTGTGTTTCTGGATGGAAAGCCCCAAACAGCATCCTAGATATGCTGGGCTGTTTCCACCTGGTCAGTAGAGTTGACCTACCCTTTATGCACTGTCTGTTTGCTGGAGCTTTTCAGATGTTCA